ATTTGGCCGCACACTTTTACGGAGATTTACGGAATTTGGCCGCACACTTTTACGGAGATTGATGTTCACTTTTAAGAAGGTAATTCATTTAAAGGTACATAAGATGATGTTCTGGTTTAGAAGTGCCTAGATCCTTTATGCTGCGGTAAATTAGCCATGTGAAAGGGAGAGTAACAGATTATTGAGGTGTCTATCAGGAGAACTAGAGAAACTGCTCGCTGACTGAATAATTGTAACTGTCAATAAGAGCGAAGTATTCAGCTAACAAATGATTCTTGCATGTTGATGAGTTTTGTACCAATTTCGGCTTACAAGAAGCTGCTCACATTTTCAAGCAGTGTTATCGTCCGTCAGAGTCTATTATATTGTTCTTCTGATCAATCAGAGGACGCTTATATACATAACTTTTTACTTTAAGAAGCTTGTCAAGGAATTGAAGAAAAATCTAGACCAGGTGGTCGCAGCATCATCATCGAAACCGAAAAGGTGTGTTATAGGTGAACACCGCTCGTAATTTCTAGTTACACCCCTTACTTTCTCAAGCCCACAGTCTTCAACAGAAAGGCTTGAAAGGGGTACTGATCTCACTCATGTAAGATTATCCTTGCTGTTGTCTATATGCTGCTCGGGCGTTTTTTGTGAGGAGAGAGTCTGTCTTCCTCATTTATTCGTCTTTTCAAGGGCGGCATTTGGAGAGCGTCCCGTTAATCAGCTAACATTCGATCTGTCTTGCATCGAAGCTGAGGACTCGTCTAATGAAGACTTTGGATCTACTAACCTCACTGGAGTTTATCGAGCGTTTGCACCTGTGTTGTGAGTTTGCCATTGTTTTAATTGGTACCATGAGGCTATATTTTTTCTAATTACACCAGTTTCCGCACTGTTGAATAACTCGTACGTGAATCACGAGCTGAAGCGTAATCGCTTAGCGAATTACTGGCTCTCCATTTGTATTCAGATTCCGTCCTCTGTCCAAAATCGTTCTCTGATTCCGCAAAGGAATGAACATTATATAATAACTTATCTGCAAATTTGTTGTTTCCATTTTATCAGGGTAACTCTTTTCAGACCTTCTCCGTCTAATGCCAAATACCAGGCCAGAGCCGAGCGTTTTGTTATCACGCAGCAAGTACAAGGACAGCTTTTTGTGAAGAGTTCTGCTCCTTGTGGTCCAGTGTTTATCGAAATGCCCTCTGCCACGCCCAGTGAAAAGTACGCTGTGGATAAAGCCTCAAATGTTATCGATGGTAGGCAATCGCTCTTTCACTGTTCCTATAACTCAAAGAAAGCGACCATGCTGGCTTCCACGTGGATCTGCTGCCTCGCGTTATCAACCGATAAGGTCTGAGATAGACAATTGTTGGACCCATGGAAGATACGATACGATGAGATAAGAAGGTGCGGCTGCTTGATAAGAGGTGCACTCCAGAATGAAAACGGGACGATAACGATAACGGTATCATATCTAGCACGCTCTTATCGCACCCCTTTCCACATCGATAAGTCTTGGTTTTTGCTGAACGGAAGTGGATTTCGGCGCCTTATCACTCCGTTGATAAGGCGCCACTGCCACTGAAACACACGTGTTGTAACATTGGGCAGGACCCTATCCACTCCAGTACGTAACCTTATCGTCTCCATAGGAATTATCGTGATCACTCCTTTAAGTGTGAGCCTCTTTTCATGCAAGTTTAAAGCACCATTATCTCCTGTGACGTGCAACTCATTCGCCTTCATTCAAAATCGCAGTGGCATATCAGCATTATTTGACCAACACATTGACTTTTATCCATTTCTCCCGGTCTCCAGGCTGTTTTAGAATCAGGAGCGTAATTTTCGCGGTTGGCACCGCTGATTTCGGTGCATGCCCCGCCCCTTGTGACTGGAGATCAGCTCGATTCATGCGCACTTCGCAAATACTGCCCCATGCTCCACATAACAAACTTGATCGGGCTCTTCAGGGGGTTGGTCTAGTGGTAACAAATATCGTGAATGACACAGCAAAGGAATTGTAGAACATGCCTTTGAACTAACGACTCTTTTAAGTGGAATGTGAACGAATGGCACAATTTGCCACACAATGTCGTGAGGCCAATCCAGAGATATCTGAATGGTCGACTCCGGTTCCTGGCTCTTCGGTATGGTCATATGGTTGTGAACCTTTCTAGACTCCTAGTATGTTATGCCGTTTCGAAGCTGAAAGGCTTAGAAGAGATCTGTTAAGGGTTCCGATTTTGTATATGGACAAATAGTGCGGAGTATATCTGAAGATGTTCCGTTGAGTGACCGAACCGCATCGCTTTTGATGGACGATGAGCGTGGTACGGTGATACAGCTCGATCTTAGTCGACTTCCGGAAATTGGTATTTATCCTGGACAGGTACTACAGTCTTCTATTCTTATCGATACAAACAATACAATACCTGATCATCTTTTTAGTTGGTGGCTTTGCTTGGCTCATTTGAAGGCGGAGATCATTTCATAGCAACTCGTCAGTTTCATCCTAAACCTCTGCCGCTGTCACCTTTGGAAAGACCTACTGTCGATGGTAATAATATGTGATAGCTGAAGTTTTGGGCCTACTTTTTTGATTTTCTCAAGACAATCGTAATTTTCCGTTTTCGTCTTCCATTCGTATTCCGAGGATTACTCAAATAAAAACTTCCCTTTATGTGTTGTGTAGTGATATCCCTTGTGGATTCGTCAATATTTAAGAAGTAATTCAGTCGTTCATTCAGAGAATCTTCGGGTGTGGTGCGCCAGCGGTCCCTTCACAACTTCGGAGAATTGCTCATACGAACCTCTTCGCGATTTGCTGGAAATAGTAACCAAAGAGCAACCGCACGTACTGATTTTGGTATGACATTTGTTAACAGTTGCATGAAAATTCTATTCTTCGTTGACAGATGATGCCTGTTTTTTCTGATTTTTTATTGCGAGTTATGATTTTGTATTTTATCAGATGGGGCCGTTAGTGGAAAGCAAGAACGCGTTCATGCAACGTAAAGAGTTTCCGGAGAAATATCAGAGTGTTATGGATCAGCTCATGAGAAATATTGCAAAATGTCTTGAAGGGTGAGTTTGCCAGAAATGTTCATAGTGGAAGTGATTGGAAGAGTTCTTTGAATTTTTCAGCTGCCGGACGGAAGTAATTGTGCAACCCGCACCCTTTCGTGACGCATGCTGTGACCCCATATTTCCCACTCCTCCGTTTAAGTTCAGCTCCGATATTAGCAAAAAGATGGGACGTGTGAGTTTTTTCGTAGACCTAGATTGAAAGTAGATACTTTTCGAATCGATTGAGCTATTATAGCGCCTTCACTGCGCCCCTGAACCGTGTGTGGCTCGCATCAATGGAGTCGAAGTGGCGTTTACTAGTAGCGAGGTGAGAGCATAATCCAGGTATCTCCAAACAAAACATCGTTACTACTTAGTATTTGGAAATGAAGATCAATGGGTAGGCGATACGTGGTTTAGGCATACTTTCATCGCTTAACTTTTTTTAATTTTGAAATTTTTATTTGTCTCGCTCTACTTTTTTGAGCCGTTAATACTGGTTACGATCGCAGCTGACAGTGAAATCGAAATTTTCTGCTCTTCTTCATTTGACGCTGCACTCTATTATTAGCCTATATCTCTTAACCCCTATCTTCTCATTTCTTCTAATCATATACTTCACTTGGGTAAAGGAACCGGCAGGCCACCATAACCATGTCCTGCCATAAACGGTTTCTCGTACGTGTACTCAGTCATTAGTTCAGAGGGTCTCTTCTAACCTACTGTTGATGTTTCTGTGCCTTTAAAATTGTCATTCTTAAATGACCTGAATAGAGAAGCCATTTCTCCCTCTTTCTTCTCGCTTTTTTGTGAATTTATGATTAACTATAGGTGATCGTACATCTTAGCAAGAACGAATGGCACCGATCACCAAATCAAGAAAATCAGGATAGAATCACCCGGCTCAATTCTCATCTACTAGAGTAAGTCTGGTCGGTTATTGTATTCGAAATACCTCTTATTTATTTTGCAGTCAGCGCTCGTTGTATCCCCTTTCTCCTCCTGCAATACCCAGCTCTGTAGAAGAGTTGACGAAGCTTTGTAGTCTGCGAACTGCTCCACACGTTATTATTTGTTCGTCAGTTCTCGCTGCTAGCATAAAGGTACGGAGATTGTCGCCTTTTTTTCCAAAAGCTGTTGTACTAAACACTCGCTTTCATGCCAGTGTTCTGTGATATAACCATGCTCATTACAGAACATAAACAACACTATTGTTGCGAATCCTGGAATTACGGCACGAGGAGGCAGTGGAACATTCCTAAAATGTGAATTCTCTACGTCTGTAGCACAAGACGCCTCAAACTTACCTGATTGTTCAAGATTTGAAATTGTCAAGTTATAAGATAGGGCTCTTGTTGTTCATATTTTTTATATATCGCACGGCATGTGAAATGAATTCTGAATGCATTGCGTGTCTAGTAACGTTCCAATTTGACCTGCTCCGTGTAATTACTCAACAAGTCCAGTGGGGGGGGGGAAGGGCTATGAATAAACATATCAATTCATAAAATTGCGTCGAGGCTGTACTGTAGACATATGCACTGTTTTTCGATAATAGGGTGCAGTGCTTTCTTCTGAACATGAGTAAACCCAAACATCATGCGGTCTCCAAGAATAGAAAGTCATCGCACGACAATATGTCAATAGGTACATGCATCAACGAGAGTTCTGGAAGCTACATCCTGTGGCAGTTCCACGTAACAAAGCATCGTGCAGACGGCGACTAAACGCTGCACTAAGCTCAGGACCACCTAACTGAAAGATCGAAAAGGAGCAGACAGAAAGCTTAGGCCTAGTCATTGACGAGAGTCAGGACTGCGAATGCGAATCCAGCGATTCGCTAGCGTATTTCCGAGCTCTCATACATCCTACTCTCTCAGGCCCTCGTGAGCCGGGAAAGTGGCGAGAGCCAACGTTCAAAGGAAGTCCCGCCACTTTCAAACAGTGTCGAGTCGCTGGTACATCGTTCGATCCGCTGGCACATAGTTCGGTCCGCTGGTATGACTGCCAGACTCGATGTCAGACTTTGCGAATCCAGCGATTCGCTAGCGAAACGTTGATTCGCAAAGTCTGACATCGGTCTTACACAGCCAAACACAGACCATATTTTGAGAATGTAAACTCTCTTTTCTTCCCTTACCTCTGAGAAAGGAAATGTAAAAGCCTACTTGAGCCTTTTCAAAAACGGGCGGAGTCTGTCAAGGACAAATGCCACTTGTACTCCTGACTTTCCAATAGAACTGAACACTTGGCCATATAGCAAAAATTTTGTGGTGAGGCATCACACGACCTATACTCGATATCCGAGAGTTGGGGTAGGCGTGTCACCGGAAGTGACGTGCACTTGATAGAAGCTATGTGGATAAGCTGCTTCCAACATACATCGCTGGATATCAGCAAAGCATGCTGGCAACAGCTTATCCACGCAACTTCTATCAAGTGCACGTCACTTCCGGTGACACACCTACCCCAACTTTCGGATATCGACTGTAATAACTTCCGAGGTACTATGCAAGAATTTTCAGCTCACGATCAGTTTAATTCGTATGGATAGCTCTAGAAGCAAATGCATGCGCAAAACTTCGAAAGATGGTTCCTCGATGCAAGTATAGAATCATATCAGATTATAGGTTGGCCGACCCTTAATCTGAAGGTGTGTAGCGGTATTTTGGGGAATACATAACATTTGGACTATACATCTTTATTACTTATTAATGATAGAAGAGAGAAGGGTGAGAAAGGGGGAAGGGGGAGTGAGTGCCGGCTGACGACTGACGACCGAC